GCATATGCGGTAGTTGTTGAAAGTACAGTGGGCGGTGGCGATGCAGCAGAACAAGTCCATAGGATGAATAGCGATGAACCGGGGTTTGCATCGTATGAAATTTCCACTCGAAAGAAAAGGCCGGAAAGACGGACAAACTGTCATGTTAAACGTATGCGTGCATTGAGAGCTGCGATTAAGAATCGTAGGAGCAAAGAAGATATGGATGCTCACAAACGTTTTTTGCGGGGTGTGAGGCGAAGTTTGGTCCCTGTAAATATTCTTCGAGAGATTCGAGCAACCACCTCTGGCCAGTCGAGGGATGCATCTTCTTCTTCGAAGGAAACGCGTCGTCATTGTTCTCGACCGAGGCAATCCCAAAGTATGTCGGGGAGAGCAGAGCAGTCACACAATCCGTCCGTTACAATTCAAAATTCAATGAACAATCGGGAACATAGTGAGCCAGATAATCAGGATGAGCAAATGAATGTTTGGATGATGATCCACCTGATGATATGAATGCACTCCCGTTTGTACTCGTGGCAACACCGTATGCAGCGGTTGAGAACACCGTGACTATTGTCGCGGGTGCTAGCACGGTTCAGGCATTCGACATTGGTGGTAGAGAACCGTGAAAGTATTGTGGTGCTAAGTTATGGAATCATGAAAAAAATTGGACAAAAATATGTTGCAGAAAAGGTACGAGACGTTGTCCTCTGTGGGAATGGCATCGAGAAGGGTCGTCGGAGCATGAGATTCTTTCTATTTGGACGTCTCAGACTCCCGACGGGCGATTCGTTCGAAAGAATGCGAGGATAATCAATAATAGTTTATCTATCGCATCCTCACAGTTGAAACAACCGAGCGATGACGTTCAAGGATTCCAGGGCCAACTTCGGGCTCAAGGTCCGATCTATCATTGTGTCGGTGCATTGGCTGTGGGGGAAGGGGGGTGGACTCAGTTTGCACAACTTTACTTGCACGATCCTCAACATTTGGATGATGCGATTGATCAAAGAGTGGATTTCCTTAATTTACCTGCACACACGTCTGATGCCGAACTTCAGCAAATGAGACGACTATTAAGAAGGTTCCACGAGTTGCTACAACAGTGTAACAACTAAGTGAGGGACTTCATGACCATTGCCGACCTTCCGCCAGGAGCATTGAATGAAAGGAAGTTGGTCATAAATCCCGATGTCATGCCCGCGAAGGAACATGCAAGGCGTTATAACCATCCGTCGGGGCTACAGGAGGTATGCGTTCTCATGGCGGATGGTCTTCTTCCTCGTGAGCTCGAAATTCGTTTACGTGCCCCTCTTCCGGGTGAGCGGCCAACAGTTGTCGTTCAGGAGTGTTCCCGAGCGCACGAATGTTTGAGGTTTGTTTTACTCTTCCCGGAAGGAATTGATAGTTGGTCTGTCCAACGTGCCTTGGAAGCTGGATGGCCGTCGGGACTCAATGCGAAGGAGTACTATGCGTTTCACCTACACGAACGCGATGGTGAAAGACCTTGCCTCCTTTATGAGGCGCGTTTTTTCCACGAGTTTTGTTGCATGGCTTACGCTAAGGTTGAATCTCTTCGCTTAAAATGGGTGAGATTCCATCAGAAAGACTTGCGGTCGGAATATTATCAGATCCTGCGAGAGGCTGTGGAACAAAATCAGCACAGTGATGGTGTTCGGACAAAAATACTTCTGCCCTCCACCTTCACTGGGGGACCGCAGTATATGACCGAAAGATATCGTGACAGCATGACAATCGTGAGGCGGTTTGGAAAAACCGATCTTTTTATCACTATGACGTGTAACACAAACTGGCCAGAGATCCAAAAAGCGCTGTTGCCGGGTCAATGCGCAACCGACAGGCCGGATCTACTTGCCCGATTGTTCAAAGGTTATCTCACCCAATTCATTGACGAGATTAAGAAAAAACGGATCTTTGGGAGGGTCGATGGAATGTTGTATGTAGTTGAGTTCCAAAAAAGAGGTCTGCCGCATGCACACATATTGGTTATCTTGCATCCGGATCATAAAATCCGCGATGCAAATGCTGTTGACAACGTGGTGTGTGCGGAGATTCCACCTGAAGGGGAATTGAGAGAAAGGGTTGTCAAATTCATGTTGCACGGCATTTGTGGTGAGGAGAAAAGCGATGCTTCATGTACCGAGAACGGAAAGTGCACGAAAGGGTTTCCGAAAGAATTCATTTCCACGACAACCTTCAAAGATGAACAAACTTACCCTTCGTATAGGAGAAGAAAACCAAGTGATGATGGCTTTACCGTTGTTCAAAATTGCGTCGTTTATGATAATTGTCGAGTGGTCCCGTACAACCCGTACTTGCTGATGAGGTTTAACTGCCACATCAATGTCGAATGTTGTGCTTGCAAATATGTGTATAAGTACGTGTATAAAGGGGGTGATCGTGCCATAGTTTGCGAACAAGATAATAATGCACCTGTCGATGAAGTCAAATCCTATCAAGATATGCGTGTTGTTGGTGCATGCGAGGCATGTCAGCGTCTGTTTGAGTTCGACCTTGCGGAACAGTGGCCCGCAGTCGAAAGATTGTCGGTGCATATCGAAAACATGCAAAAAGTGGTCTTCGAACCGGGCACGGAAGATCATGTTGTTTCCCGCGGACCGCCGAGCACAAAATTGACGACATGGATGGATCACAACTCTTGGAACGAACGTGTTCCTAAACACGAACTTCCTTTGTATCATGAAATTATTAAAACTCGTGTGTGAGATAATTAACATAAGGTGTGGAACAGAAGAAAGCGTGTTCTTCATGGTGCTCCTTTCGAAAAGATATCTCGATTGCATCATGTCAGGGTCATGGAAGGCAAACGCTTCTATCTCCGTGTGTTGCTAAATCATGAACACTCTCGTGGAGCACGCTCTTTTGCGGAAATTCGTACTGTCAATGTAGTCGAATGCGATTCGTTTCGATCGGTGTGTCTTCGGTTAGGACTTTTGCAAACCGATGATGCATATAATCAATGCATAGATACGGCCGCACTCCATTATATGCCTGCAGAGGTTCGTAAAGTATTCGCTATGCTTCTGCTGTTTGAGCCGGTCAACGATCCTGTTCAATTCTTTCAACGACATTGAAAAAAAATGTGTGATGATTTTCAGTATCGTGCGGGCTCTCAGATTCTGCCTCCGATCGTTTTGCAATGTTTAGTGCTCTTTGATCTTGACCGTATCTTGCATGAGTCTGGCAAAAACATCTGCCTGTTTGGTCTTTATTATCCGACCCCTAATGGAGAAACGATTGCCAACAACATAAACAGGCATTACGAGAACAGGACTGTGTCCTCGATTATGAATGACGAATTGTCGTATGATCCGATTGAAATGCGAACTAAATTTGAGTATAATTTTCGACGTCTTCGGCCACACCAACGAGTGTTGGTGCAAAGAGTTTGTTCGGGCCGTGGAAGAGAAACAACTGCTTTATGCTTTTGTAGATGCGCCGGCGGGAACAGGAAAAACTTTTTGCATAGAAACAATTTTGGTGGGGATCACGTCGCGTAATGGTATTGGACTCGCTGTGGCATCCAGTGGGATAGCAACGACTCTTTTGAACGGTGGTCGAACATTTCACTCGAGATTTCAAGCACCTTTGAAACCTGATAACACGCGTCCCTTCAATATTCCAAAACAAAGTGATCTTGCCGAACTTATCCGTCGTGCCGACTTGATCGTTTGGGATGAAGCTCCAATGAGCAACAAGTTCCACTTGGAAGCTCTTGACATTACGCTTCAAGATGTCTGTAACAGTAACCTCCCGTTTGGAGGAAAGGTTTTGCTTCTTTCTGGGGACTTTCGACAGGTTTTRCCRGTTGTGAAACATGGGTCTCGAGCACAGAAAATTGATGCCTCTATCAATATGTCTTCTTTGTGAAAACTTTTTGAGGCTCATTGCCTGACTGAGAATATGCGGATCTTAAGCTTAGGGGATGATGCAATGGCGCGAATGTATGGCGTGTTTTTTATGCGTATTGGGAATGGTGATCATATTCGTTTTGTTCTTAACGAACCTGCCACGGTCAAACTGCCGCATGAGATTTGCACTGATAAACCTATTCGTGATTTGATTTCTTGGACGTTTGAGGATGTCTGTGAATACGTTGGGGATGCTGACTATTTTTACGCTCGATTGATTCTCTGCGCTACTAATGACGATGCGGGGTGTGTTAACGACATGGTTCTCAACGATTTCCCTGGCGAGATGCGTGAAAGTTATAGTGTTTATTACCCTGGTTTTTATGATCACGGACTTGGCATCGAGCTTGAGTTCTTAAATTCTTTCGATGAGTCTGGTCTTCCGCCTCACAAACTGCGCTTGAAAATTGGTGCGCCTGTGATGTTGTTGCGCAATTTGTCGCCCAAACAAGGACTTTGTAATGGCACAAGGTTGATTCTTAAAAAAATTGTTGATGATGATTTGTTGAAAGTGACCATAATGTGCACCGGTAAAACGACATTGATCCCCAAAATCGATTTGACAAGTGATGGTGAAACGACGGGGTTTAAATGGAATAGGTGGCAGTTCCCCATCCGTCTTGCGTTCGCTGCGACCATAAATAAGTCGCAAGGACAAACTGTCTCTCGTGCTAGGGTTTGGTTGCGCAAACCTATTTTTGCGCATGACCAATTGTATGTTGCTTTGTCGCGCGTCGGTCATCCCAACAACATTAGTGTTGCGTTGCCTGACAAGAATTTCATCACAAAGAATTTTGTATATCACGAACTTTTGGAATGACTTTTTCTTTTTTGTCGTCTGTATCTCTTTTGACCGTCGATTTTAATCGCTCCGAATACCTTTTTTTTTTTTTTTTTTTTTTTTTTTTTTTTTTTT